GGGAGGGAGGGGAAAGGTGAGGGCCTGGTGTCGGTGGTTTAGGTGGAGAGAAAATGTTTTGAGAAACGATGTGCAAATGCGCTTTGCACAGTTGATGTGTGTGTGGATTGGGATGGCAGTTGTGTGAGCCCCTAGTAAAATGTTAAAAAAGAGAAAGAAAAAAAAAAGTTGGTAAACAAAAAAAAAGAAAAAAAAGAAAATAAACCCAACCATCCATTTATATGTATTTATGTGCTTGTACCTGCTTGTATGGGCAATGAGGAAAATGTGAAGGGCTATATACCAGGCAGTCATGGGTAGGTTCAAAAGAAATCGACATTGACACTCACCGACCCCACACAAGTTATGCCCCTGCTTCTGTGTGACCAGGGCAACTTCTCAGACCGCTGTCTGTGGTGCAGCGTCTGGAATGTTGAGGGGGTCAAGTGAGAAACTTACGTCAATGGAGCAGCCCACTAGAGAACCCCGCTTCAAGGCCTTCTCTAGAATCTCGTAGAAGTTCTTCGGGGCTCCTTTGGTTTCAAAGGTCTCGGCGACACCCCCTGTGAAGTCCTCCATGGCTTCAATGGCGTTTCCTCCTTTCAGAGCCTCATAGCTTCCGTTGAGCCTGTGGGGACAGCAGGGGAGTAAGGAGACGGCCGTGGACCTTGAGAAACACCACAGGGCACACCTCAGTCATTGGGCCGGAGGGAACACAAAGTGTCTCCCTTTTCGAAGTCAGGACAGATGTGACCTGGTGTGAAGGCGTGGCAGATGGGAAGCAAGGGCTGAGGAAACTGAGGCAGTATGCTATCGTGGTAGTGAGAAGTATGGGCTGGGTCAACCCCCAGCTTCACCAGCGACTTGTTTGTTCAGTGCCTGTGTCCTTACTTGTAAGGTGGGGATAATAACAGTACCCCTGCCTAGGACTGCTGGGGTGTACGGACGTGTGTCTTTCTGTAGAATCTCACTTGAAAGAGGGCCTGCCCACGAAGTTGTCAGCTATTCATAAATCGAGAAAGCCAAGTCCCTTTCTCTTCTCAGACTTTTGGGTCTTGACGGTGTTTGGTGGGGAAGCGGCACATTCAGAAGTCCCCTCTGATTACCCTGCCAGCCTTTCTTGACAATGCGGGGAGAGATGTCCGAGGGAGGGGCGCATCCAGGACCATGCCAGGAAAACTGTGGAGGAGACTCCTCAACCCAGAGGGGGCCCCAATGAGGTAAGGCCACTGTTCTTCACTGGTAAGTCCTGGCTCTGGCCCTTGGTCCTTTGATTTCCCAGCCCTCCCTCTGTAGCGTACTGGTCGAGTGGAGAATAAGCCTCCTTAAACAGGGGCCCTGGCACTCACTTGGCATAGGCTTTTTCCAGCAAGGCACTCCAGAACTCATTGTGGTCTGCAGAGTGGAGGAACACCAAGCGGTCTTTGAAGGTGGGCAGCCGGTCATCGATCACCACCTCCAGCCATTCACTGTGCTGCCAGAACTGTGCCAAGGAGGGAAACCAAAGTGGAGAGTGAGTCACACGTGAGGTCTGAGTCTCATTTGCAATTACTGGCCACTTTTACCCCCCTGATCACTTTAGAGCCTTGAGGAAAACCCGCTATGGATATAGTGGTAGAAATCTCTCTCTCTCTCTCTCTCTCTCTCCCTCTCTTTCTTAAATGTGACTTTATTTGGGAAATGGTTTCTTGCAGTGTAATCCATTAAAATGAGGTCATATTGGAGTAGGATGGCCCCTGAACCAACGATTGGTGTTCCTACAAGAAGGGGAAATCGTGGGCACAGAACCAGATAGAGAGGAAAGAGAGCCAAATGAAGACAGAAGTGGAGGTTGGAGCAACGTAGCTACAGGCCAAAGAACAGCACGGATGCCAACGAGTTTCCAAAACTGGAACAGACAAAGAAAAATTCTTTTCCCAGATCCTTCAGAGGGAGCATGGCCCTGCCAACACCTTGATTTGGGGGCCCCAGGACTGTGAGACAATTCTTTTCAGCTGTTTGAAGCCACCCAGGTTGTGGCAATTTCTTACGGCAGCAACAATGGTGCCACAGCTTTTACCCACTAAGCCAAATGTGTTGCATCTGCCTGTCATGGAAACCGGCCCAAAGAATAATGATCAGGACACGTTAAAATGCCCCCAATTCACGTTG